AAAAATACAATATTTTTAAAATATTTCAGTAACTTTTCACACTCAAAATCATATTTGTATTTTTTAATAAATTGTTTAAAAAATTTTTATAGTTCAATTTGATTATTTTTCGAAAAATAAAAATTGCGGGAATTTTGTTATTGCATTAACAAATTTAGTGCCACAAAACTACCAAAAATAACTTCGTAATGCATGAGAAAACTACAAAGAACCAAAGAAACTACAATGTGCAGTTTTAATTCTAAAATTTTGATAATTTATAGAAAGTTAAAAGCTGTTAAACATACTGATTACAAATGGCGAATGAGTTGGAAAGATTAAAAGTGGCGCTATTGTTGCGACAAGTGATGCAATTGCAATCTGCGATGTGCATTTGGTTGGTCGCAAAACACAAAATAACAAAACGAATGATGCAACAACGAAAAAAATTGGTTGACATATTTCGCATACCTATAATGCTAACTATTTTTCAGTAAATAAATATACTTATAGAATACTACCTTCAGATGCAAAAACACACTGGATTACTTAGTGAAAAACTTAAATTATAAATAACAAAGTTTTTTAATAAAAACTTAAATAAAAAGTCATAAATGCTAACAATCATATAAATGTCAAAAATGAGAACCAAGTGCTTTTTTAGGTTCCAGACCTGAAATTAAAGTCATACCAAAATGAATTTTTGTTCCCAAAATTTGAAATGTTCCCAAGCTAACAAAATTTTTGTCATTTCCAGAATAATAAGAAGTAGTGAAAATAGCAGCTGAAAAATATTTGACAATGAAACTATATTTATTATACAAAAATTTATTAACAAAATGGCTATCATTTATTCATTTTTGCCGTTTTTTGTAATTTTGATTTCCTTTTATTTTTTATTTTTATAATATTAAAGTATATTGAATATTTAGATCAATAGACTAGTAATAGATCATTTTTTAAATTTAAATGATTTCAGTACAAGACCTCGTATTGAGAGGTTTTGTGCAAATAGTAATATTCAAAACTAATGACCTACAGGGCGCAAAGTAGATTGCTCAAAGTTTATTGTTTATTCAGCTGAACTTTTTTTAAAAAATTGAATTATAATTGCATAATATTTCGTTAAGGGTCAAAGTTCATTTTTTCTGAAAATTCCATTTTGCTTCCTTTTAAAATTTACTAAAAAACTTGATATTTTAGTCGTTTTTGCTGCCAAATTACCTGAGTGATTGCTAAAATCTTTTGGTAAAATACAATACGTTCTAATCGTCGCGATCGCCGATTGATTTCAGATAACACATCAAGATTTGGAGTACGGTAAAGTGTAGCAGAACCATTAACAAGTGCTGATGGCGGTGGTACTTCTAGCTGATACGGTCGATAAAGACGGTAAGGTGACCTGTAACATCCGGAAGGCATCACCCACTGATGACAACTACTGAAGTGTTATGCTATAGCTATGCTATGAGGTTGAACTTTCTCTTACAATCAATTCAACTGTAAACCTCATCAAAATTCGCTATACTGCGACTGATAATACGGTGTATTTGCATATAGATTGGTTCCATTAATATGAATACAAAAGTTTTAACCTTAATTACTACATGTTGAAATTAGAGAAAGAAAGTTGGTCAATAAAATGAGGTCAAAGGTTCAACTTTGAGCTAACCTTTTGAGATATATTGGAGATATGCACTGCATAAGTCCATTACTTGTACATTTATCACTTTCTTTGCATACAAAAAATGGATAAAGCAATTTATTTTGTGACTGACAGTGCAAATGTTCAGGGAATTTATTAGAGATAAAATATGAAATATAGCCAAGTATAGAATGATTGGATTTCCTGCAATGTCAGGAAATTCGGGTCAAATGTAATAATAGATGCGCTCCCATCTGCAAGTAAATTAGAATGTGGGAATTTGTCAGATAATTGTAGCGAGATGTTTCTACGTTTGTTAACTAACCTGAGGCTGCTTAGTTTGGTAAGTCAGCAAGTTGGCGCAACCCACGTAAGATTAGAAGTATTTTGTGCTGCAAAATATGAGTAATGAAAAAATTCTTCAAGATGCTTTCAAATGATTTGTTCAATGTTTCGCTCAATTAATTCACAAAGGCAAAATGTACCATTATTTAGTGCATCACTTCAGTTATAATTCAGATTAAATATCAAATAATTTTAGGTCAAAAGCTAAATTCAAGTGGAATAATTTTGGGTTAAAAGCAAATTCAAGTAGAAATGATACTGCTGAAAAGACGTGCAGCAAATTATTTTTGTATCGAAGCAAAAATCAGATAGAATTAGCATTTGCTAAAATTTGCATAAAGTAAAATTTGCTGCAAGCGAAGTAATTATTTGTTTTATAAATGTAAAATATGAAATTGAGTTGAAAAAATGCCAAACAAAAAGATTGCATTTTCAATAAAGTCAAATGGCATCAGAAATACATTCTTTGCATTCATTCATTATTAATAATTATGGCATTAATAATAACTGCAAAGATTGCAATCTGCGATGTTTTGATGCGAATTGATTGCGATGGAAGTTTGCTTGGATAAAAATAGAACAAAAATGGTAATTTTTTAATTTTTGAAGCAATTGTGGACGAATTCAAACTTTTTACCAAATTTAACTGATATATTTGACAAATATTAATAATATGCTTATAAATAGATCATATTCAGACATGTTTATCACTCACAGAAGTTAGTTCCAAAAATGCAACCACAGCGAAGTGATTCTTTTCCTCGATATCTTTCTTACGGCAGTATTTTTAATTTGTACTCCAAGGCTATCTCAATGTCAATAATTTTGTTTTTTATTCATAAAATTGACAATATTTTTTCGACTTAAAAATGTTAAATTAAGTCATTGCTGTACATGCGGACTTGATAATTAGGAATAATAATTATACTTTTGATATGATGAAGTAATCAGATAAGTTTTTTACTATCTTGGAAAATAATGTGAGCGAATTCAAATGCAGCACATGTGGTTGTGGCTGTGGATGAACGGTGCTTGAAGGCAGGTGATTAGACGACATCTGCGAGCAATGAAGTAAGAAGAAAATAAAATTTAACTATTCTCGAAATGTAAAAAGCATTAAGAATAAATCATTTTAAGATACAAAATAAAGCATTTAAATAATTTCATAAAATTAATCAAAACTAAATGTGTCAAGATGGAGCACTTTTTATTGAAAGTAAAAAAATATACAGCAATTGCAATTACTTGCAGTCACTTAGAATGAAAGTAGTACTATCTGATGTACTTGTGTTAACAAGTATCGTATACTAATTAAATGACCTTTTAAAAAATATTTGACCCTTTGCTACTGAAAAACAAACGGAACCTAGTCATTATGTGTGACCAAGCACTCAGGTGACTGAATAACAATAGTTACCGAATCTGTCTGACTTTCCAACTATATTTTGGTAATAACATGCGAGAATGATTATTCTTCCAAGGTTAGTATTATCGTAATTATTGTTGTTATAGTAGTAGTAACTCCTTCGCGCAGCCCATTCATAATTATTTGTTTACTTGCTTTTCTACGAGTAAATTGTCTTCTTGGCATTTTTGTCTTCTTTTCTTGCATACATTTTTTTCAATTATTTCTTTCAAATTGCTTGATTTGCATCCAGCGGTTAAATGCACTGATCTGATCAATTGCTCAACAAACTAACTTTTTATTCATTCTTGCCATTTCTGACCTTGACCTTATCTTTGTTATAAACAAAATTAATGCTTTCTTTCATTTATTTTTCTTTTTTCATAAATATTTAAATACTTCCTTATTTTGACCTTTTTTTTAATGAATTAAATGCAATAAATGCATGTATTTACGTACATATTTACTTGACTTATATTCAGACTTCACTCGACTATTATATTCAAATTTAGAAATTACTCCCAGTGAATACTGAAAAATATTTGCTGCCAATAATTTAGCCATTAATTGCACAGCCATTTTATTCACTTCAAATTATAGTTTAATCTCTTATTGTGGGCGAAAACGTTTTTTGAAAACACTTTGGTACGTTTTTGTAATGAAATATCTTGCAAAGTCTGCATTTATTGCAAAAATAATATATTATTTATATTATTTGGGCGGCAGCAAGTAATTTCAATAAGCTAATAAAAAGTTTAGCATATTTTTTATTGAAAAGTTTAAAATTTAAAGTATTCCACTTTTTCATTTTTATTACAATATATAAAATTTCAAATATTTTGCTTTTGACAGATTCATCGAGTAACGATTCAAATTTTCAGAAGGATCGTTTTCATCAAATTTCAAAAATATTATTAATTCTTTACTTGCAACTTCCCCACTTTTTTTTGTTTTAAAAAAGTATAAGCAATATTTTTAAATATCTTAAATTACACTGCAAAAGTTTACTTCAGCAGAAGGTAAAATTTTAATGTATATTTAAGATAGTGTGTCCAAACGATCTTAAATATATTTCAAATTCTGAAAATAATTAATTTCTAGGCATCAGGTCAGCTTGTATAAAAATAAAAAAGAAAAAAAAGCTGCCTAATTAAGTCAGAAACTTAAACAATAATGTCAAGAATTATTACAGAACATATAAATATTGCTCAATGTGATGATTTTTCGATAAAAGATGTGTCAAAGGTCAAGACTTTAATAACAGTCAAAATTTTTTAAATGATCTGTGTTACATTTAAAGATCAGATCTGTATTAGCTCATAAAAAACCAGAAATTTTACAGTAATGGTTTTGTGATTGACTGAAAACACTGAGAATATTTAAAGCTTTTTTACTTACATACAATATCGAAATTTCTAATATTCATTTTTTTAACCTAAAACAAAGTAATTTAGAATTTTATTTTTCATTCATTATTTCAATCAAATTCATTATTTGAGTACATTCCAAAATAAATAATCCTTCAAAAGCACTATAATAATAGAAGTCACTGAACTTACAAAAATTATCAAATTTAAAAAGTATTGAAAAACTTTAAAATTTCAAATATTTGCAAATGTACGTATTAATATTATAGTATACGTGCTAACTTAAATATTTCTGAAATTCTAACAGCAGTTGAAAGAAATCACAGCTTACTAATCACAAAATTTGAATTTTACAAAAAGTCCGCCACATTATTATTTGTTCAAAAAAATTCTATGAAACGTACTGGAAAATTGCTAACTAACAAAGAGAGTATATCTATTTTGAATTGAATGACAAGTCAAAAAACTTCAAAAATAAGGCTGAGAATGCCATACTCAAAGCAGAAAAACTTTAACAACAAGAAGCAAAATAGTCGAAAGTAAGTATAATACGCAACAAATTTACTGCTTAGTTATGTGTAATTTAAGCTTACTCAAAAAAGATCCCAACACTTTTACTAAAACTTTTATTTAAAATTTACAAAAGAATTGTTTCTAAACAAAGTGTATTAATAAATATTATCAGAGTGATTATTGCAGTGGCCAAATTTTAACAAGAAGAAGAATGACTGCCCAAAATTTCGTATTACATGTCAATAAGTTTTAATTTCACTAATTTTAAAATTCAAAATCAAAACTTTTATTTAAGTTATTTTCTAAGTATACAAAATTCAGTAGATGAATTTTACGAAAATAAAGAATTTTTCTAATGGCACAATTTACTGCGCACTTTCACCACAGAATCACCGTTACAATATCACAAATATGCAACATATTAGCCCTCACAAAAATAAGTCTTATCTCTGTGGGATTTTACTTTATTCTTTTTTACGGTATGAATTTTTTACTACTTTCAAATTTGAGCATTCAAAATTAGAATTCAAAATATCTCACATTAAGGATATATGTCAAACCATTTCTGTCAATGTCTCAAGCCAATACTGTGATATTTTTTAGTACAAATGAATTATTGTATATTTATATACAATGCTAGCACTTATCGTTCCAATTGCGCATACTTCAATAAAGACAATTGTGGATGAGTATGCATTTATTTTTAAAGTCATAGTGAGTTACAGAGTTTGATGAGTTGAATCCCAGCTCAATTAATTGAGTTTTGCGTATGTTTGTGGGTCGTATGTAATCGGGTCAAGTAATTTCTAAGCATTGTTCAGGCATTTCAATTTTGCTGTCAAAGAAACAATTCAGAATATTACAAAGAGAAAAATTTTTATGTCACTGAGGTCGGGCAAATCAATTCGTCAGCTATTTTTCATATTAGTGATTTTGGTATTACTATCAACTTGCTGGTATGCATTACAGTTCACGCTTGCTGTCCGTTATGTAGTATCTCACGAAGCATCTGAAGAAACAGCTATGTCAAGAGTTATGAATAACAAAAATGATGAAGCAACTTTGAAAGAACAAGTTTTGAGAATATGGATGGAAGCAATTGTCATAAAGAATCGTATTGAGTCTTACCTAGCTCAGATTCCATCTACTATAATGGATTCATTGTGGCTGTGGTGGTGGAAACTGTTTAAGAAGTTAGACATAAACAAAATATCCGTTCATACTAATGTAACGTCAGCCGTAACAGAGGACACACTATTTATCTACAAAGCCTTTCTCGATCAGCGAAAATCTGAAGAGCCTTTGATCCGAGTTCTCGCTTTTGGTCAGTGCCGTGAAATTCAGGTATTACTGCGTTACGGTAAATTTCTCATATCAGTAAAAGAGGTCACTGTGGAGTACCATTGTCCATGGCAATGGGCACCGTACTGCAAATGGTTCTCATTTATGCTTGTCTTCAGTTTAAGCAATACCAATTTCTCGACTGATACGGTTCGTATTTTTTTTAGTTTTAATTTGTTTTTTTGTTCTACCATTTACAAAGTCGTACCACAAAGATTACTGTGTTCATTACAAAAATTTTTGAAAAAACAGTTTTTCAAATTGAACGAACAGTAACTTTACTGCAAAAAAAATTATCCTTCAATAATTAACTCATAAAAATTAACTATAATTATTTACATAAGATATGCATTTTCTGTCTTAAACATAGTTTAGGACCATATATTTTTAATGAAACGAAATCAAATTATAACAGTTCCACTGAAGATTTTACCTCAACAATATGAAGACACACTACACGTATGTGTGCCTCCACTTTATTGGTATTGGAATTATGTGGCACTTATTCAGTTTATTGAAGTATTTAATTCCTGTTATTATTTTTTTGAATACTATTTACTAGTTGAAGTGCTAATTACTCACAAATTAAAAGTAACAAATTTTAAAAATAATATTATTTAAGAATAATATTACTCTATTTGCTTTCAGATCAAAGTATTATATTTTTTAATATACAAAAATAAATTTTAACTTTCAAAAAAATTTCCCCAATAGATTTTTGCCTCAAAGTTTTCTAAAGAACGTTTTAATTTATTTTGTAATAAAAATTTGACGACAAAACTGATATGTGTATTGCTTTGCACCAAATAAAATATACTCATTGCTTAGTTTAAGATTTGGAGCAAACAAGGCGCTACTGTCTTTCACATTTATTATGTTTCAGTTAATCAACACACAATGGATATACTCAAAATATATGAACGAATGGTATGTGAGTATTTATTTGGTCACAATGCGCAAAAAATACGCTAAATCCAATTTAGTTGTTATGAAAAACGATTATATATTTTTTTCAAAAATCTAAATATTTTTGTAATTTCAAAAAAATATTTGGTACAAGAAAATAATAATTACTGCATAAGTTGCGACAAATATTTGCAATTTTTAGCTCTACAAATTCTCATAAAAACTTTTTTGGCTGTCTAATTCTAAAATAATTAAATTTATTTTCAATTTTTGATTTTGATCAATTGACGCGTGAAGAATTGATCAAACAGTCTAATCTTATAGGGCATTATTAGATTAATACGCTGGCAAATGCTTCCGAGATCAGATTTGACCGATCCTAATCGATGGATTTATCGGTTTGGTCACACACTTAGCATGAATGATTGTTTGTATACTTCCACAGCAAAATACGTTGCGTTAGTTGATACTGATGAGTTCATCATTCCCAAGTATGCAAATTTCAATCCATTCTTGAATTATGCACTAATTTCGGCATACTTTAATTCTTCCATTAAATCTGTAAAAAAAGCTTGATCGAAATTTGACAGATTTTCTAAATTTTTTTGAAAGGAAATAATCTGTCATAAATTGGAAATCTTAGGCTTAACATTACTTTATGTGCTAACAGCATGACTTTCACTGACAAAGTAAATTAATAATACTTTTCAGTTCTGGAACTTTGCTACCTTTTTTACGTGAAGCACATAATTTAAATGGTTTGGCTGGAAGTTTTGTTTTCGAGCATGCGAAAGTTCGGTTTCCAGGCTGGAAGGAATTTGAATTGCAACCTAAACTTGATTTTTTCTGGCTCAAAAATGCAGAATTCCATTTGCAAAGAGGCCCATCAAAAACAGTTTTCATGCCTGAACGTGTACAAATTATTGTCACGCATACAGTTCGCGAGTTTCTTAAACCATACAAACCATTCATAGTATGGATTTTTCCTTTTAATTTGTTCCATTGCAAATTTTTTTCTCGTTTAAAAATGGACTGATCATAATTTGTTTCAGATTTTTGCTCATGAGAAAATTTAAAACTAATTAAACTATTTCAAATTAAGACGCTTTCTGCTTGAACTGAAGAAATATTTATTTTTTCAATACTGCAAAAAAATTAAATCAACTAATATTAGATCCAATAACTTATATTTGCATGGTTCTAAAATCTAGTAATAATTTAATTTCACGTTCTTATAAAATATTTATAATTCTCGATCTAATAATCTATATTTTTACATTTTTTAACTTTCTGAATACTTTGCAAGTATATGTTCACATTTTGGGTCAGTACTAATGATAGTTTGTTGTATCACGCGCGGTCAAATTGGATTTTTACGAATCTTAACATTTCCACGTTTTATCCAGTCAAGTTATTCCAACAATATGTAAGTTTGTTGAATACAAAGTACCAGATACTGATGTCAAAAGTACCATGGCCAGAACAAAATCTGATTCCTTGTTGGAAAGATCATTCTAAAACTATCGAAGGTTGCTTATCAAAGTGAGTCTCGCACCAAAATGTTTAATCGTGTTTTCGAACTTATTCAAAAGACTGATATTTATTCAGAATAAGGCGGCTTTTCACATTATTCATACGATTAATCTTTTCTGAATAATTCTTTTTTGTTTCTAAATACAACGCAGATGTTAGCTATGTTTTAATTTATTTGTTTCAGAATCTCTAAAATAAATGTGCTAATTAAATTTTACAGATGGCGTTTATACGGTTGCAAGGCTCCTTATCATTTGTGCGTGTCTGATTTACATGATAAAGATGAATGGATATTCAGTCACGTCAATGTTAGCAGTGATTATATACTCTTTTAGCAGACGGTTCAAGCTATTAATAATTTTTTTGTTGCTCATTTGTTGAGATAAAATTTTTAAATTGTTAAAAATACAAATTAAAGTTATTTTTGCAGTAAGTTTTCACTTTTCAAGATTATATTTACTATATTTTGTTTATGTTTTCACTATGTTATGAAGGCGAAATTGACAAATTATTGATTATCTTACTTCTGATTTCTGCGCATCAAACTATGACTGTAAGAAATGCAAGTAAGAATTTGCAAAACCAGTTAATTTTATATGGTCAAGTAATTTAAAGTATGCCAAAAAAATAAAGAAATACTAATAAATAAAAGTTAAGGCAAAGATTTTAGAAGAAAATGGAGTGAAAAATTACAAAATAAAAGGTCAAAGTTAAAAGTTATAAATATGAAATACATCAATTTTGATTAAAATCTTTAGCAATTTTCACTGAATAAATGAATCAAATATGAATTTTGTTTAAATCTGATTGATTTGTTTCTAATGCAATTTATATTTGAACTGTTTGGATTGAAAAACATTAACGACCCCACCGTCAAAAGTTTTTCGTACAAAAGGTCACTACAAAAGGTACACATATTTCGGAAAAGATTTTATTTTCGTCAGACTAACTTTTAAGTCTAATCAAAAAAACATTTAGTTTTTCTTCAAATGCAACTTGCGGAGATTGACTTTTGCAGAATTTAGCAATTTCTTGTTCGGTACACTTTGGACACATTTTTACCACAGTTATGTTACCAGTATACAGTATTGCTTCCCAGTCAAATTTTCCAATACTTACTGGTACACTTGATGACACACATGTTGATTGTAATTCTGCCTATAAAATAATGTCAGAGGTCAATTAAAGATAAAAAAGATTAAATAATGAAAAAAGTTTACATTATTAATTGCAGCAAGAATCTCATCTCGTGTGTACGAAAGTTCTCTCCAAATAGGTCTGCAGCATTCAGGTAAAGGAGGTGAAGGACTTTTTGGCCGAGCCATAATTACAATTTTTCCATCTTCATTTGATAGCATTTCTTTGCACATGATCAATAATTTATCGAGATCTCCAGCTTTTTTACTTACTTCCAGTAGTAATATCAGATCGAATTTTCCTGCCTGACCAATGTCCATTCAGTAATTCAGTCATTATACTCAAAACAAGATTAAAAAATCAAGGTTTGTTATTCCTGCTAATAATCTGTATTTTGAATAATAATTAGCGCCAACAATATAAAGAGATCAACAAATATTCAAATATTCAGTAACTTTTAGTAAAACTCTATTCAATTGACTTAGACAAAAATACGAGTTCTATTCAAAAAATCAGCTAACTAACTTTTCGGGCATCCTCAAATGATTTAACATTAGTAACCGTAACATTTTTAGGTAATTCAACTTCAGGCATCTCATTTTGTACAGCACAAATTATATTGTAATTTGGGCACTGTTCCGCCAAATATATAGCAAATACGTTAAGCTCATCAGATATGGCCAAAACTTCTTTGCTCATATCTTTGCCTCCAGCCTAAACTTTACTATTATTTAGATTATATAAGCAAATTTTTGATTCATAGCGTTATTCTTTGAAGTAAATCATTTTGATAGTAATAATTTTTAAAGTAATAACTTTCAAAAATTTAAATAATTGCGCTCGAAGTGACTTTCATGCTTATTTTAAAAAATATTTAACTGCGAACTTTCGTGCTAATCCAATTACAGATATCGGGATGATGAATCTCCTCGAACTTCTTCATAATGTTGTATTCGCGTATTCCATATCGAACTTTCTGCAACATTCCAAATTATGTATTGCTCATTATCGAAACTGTGACATTGTCTAATTTAGTCATATTTATTAAAAAAAGTTTAAAGGTCAAAAATATTGTTATTATATATTCATGAGAATAAATTAGTTATTCATTAAATGCCATCTTATTTGTGAACTTATT